CCCCAAAACCCCAAAACCCCAAAACCCCAAAACCCCGTGAGGTCAAGATAAATTGAATGGAAGTAATAGCATTAAAATTGATTATAAGTAAATGGATTCCATCATCCTCAACTCAGTTATGCTGTTAAACAATCTGAATACACTTGTGATGGCTCAAGTGGCAACTAACTATTGATGTCATGGAATATTGGGTCCTCATGAACAGTCTGGTATCATAACAGCTCCTACTATCGGTTTAATTAATGTTCGCAATGAGCCTACATTCTCAAAAGGTAAGTAACTTAGGCTTGATTGAAGTTAACATCTTGTTAACATTTTGTAGCAAGTCAATCTAAGGCTTCTGGAACTCAATGTGATACAGTAAAGCAGAATAAAGATACTTCTAATAATTCTGATAGTGGAGAGGTTCATTACAAGAACTACAAACAAGTCAAGGCAATCTGTTCTCAGCAAGATCCTGATATTTCAAAGGCTCAAATCTACGAAAACTTGCTGGAGCCCTTCAAGTATGAACAAAAAGTTGTGACTACTCCAGTCACAAACAGAGAGACCACTCTGTACACCTGCAAGTACGGCCATTGTCGCAAAACTTACAATAAGGTCTGGAACATGATCGATCATGTCAGAATGCATGAGGGCATCAAACCCTACAAGTGTGAACACTGCCAGAAAGCATTCACACAGAAAGGCAACTTGAAGAAACACATGAGACAGCACGAGTTTGAAACTGTAGATGACAGAAGAAGATTTGAGTGCGAAATCTGCCACAAGAAGTACACCCAGAGATACAACCTCAAGGTAAATCCTCATATAACTTCTCTAAATATTCCTCTGCTCTGATTTTGATACTAAAAACTGTCCGACCTAAAATATAGTCGCACATGCTAGTCCACAGATAAACAAGGAACTGAAGATAAATCTCAGAGAAAAATGAAGCAAACGAATGGATCCTAATTAATCAAATAAAACTATTGAACCCCAATTGCTGAACAAACATATCAATTTTTTTTAATTTCTTCACACTGGAAGTCATTGTGAGCGACTGCCATAAATAACGAGCCATCCCTCAATTTTTATTTTTGACTCTAAATCATTAAATTACCCTACCCAGTTGTCTCAAATTTACCTTTCTAAGAGTCTTCGTTCTAAGTTTCTAATATTTATCCCAGTTTCTTTCTGTTCTATTTTCAGATGTTAAGAGGTCTTAAAATATCTTTTAAACAGAAGTTTATTTTTATTCTGACCATTGAAGCAAATATCTCGGTGAGTTTCTGGATGATTTCTTATCTGAACAGCTACGTATCTTTAAAGTAATCATGGCTATAAATACTGCTAAAGTTAAGTTCAATATGACTTCAGATAGAAAAGTTCTAAAAATACGTGTCGGCCATGGGAGGGTTAAACATTAGAAAGTTTTCGTAATCTGGGAGTCTCTTTTGGGCTTAGAAGTATTCTAAATTCCTGTAAAATAATTTTCGACTTAGCAGAGACATTATTAGTAGACAGACATAGGTGGAAGACTCTGACCCAGTGTTGGCTTAAGGGAGAGTCTTTTGATAAGTTTAGATTCAGAGTTGGAATGCTTGCATATTTTATTAAATGATAATAACTATATATGAGCCTTACCATGGCTCTAGCATGTTATACTTCATTGAGCTTAATTTTCAAAGTGTGCAAAAAATTATTTCTTGGGTTGATTTAGGAGTAAAATTAAACCTCTTCTTATCTCTAATTCAATGCGAATATGTGAGGAACGGTCTTTAAGGAGCCCTCTATTGTTTATCTGAGACTTATGTATCCTCCACAATGCTGTAGAACTAAATTCTAAATTATTTTTAAGGAAGAGAATTCGTGAGTAATTTTTAAGATACTTTCTCCAAAATTTATTTAAAGATAGTAAGTGAATCCTCAGGTCTCGTCAGATTTTATTATATGAGAGTATTATAATTCATGACAAAATGGTGTCAAAGATTTCTCAAAAGCTAGACCAAGAGAATCTAGCAAGCAGGGATTATAGAAATCCCATTCCAAACTTATATGAAGCATTCATTTGTTGATACAAGCGAAATTGTGGATGAGGAATCAGGAATCGATGTAATTTTTGCTCCTCTTAAAATCTGAATCCTAAGCTAAACTGTAAAAAATTTTAACAAATGGTAGGATGAATGAAAGTTAATATAATCTTAAAAATATCAAGTCAACATTAGGAGAGCACTCAAGAAGAATATTCTCTCGAGATCCTGTAAATTATTGATCCAGGTAATAATTTTGAAGAATGTAGCTGAAAAATTGATGTCTCCGATCTCCTGCACTAAAGGAGGGATCAAAAGTCTTCGAACTTTAATAATTAATTTACATAAGAAAAGTTGAACACCAATATGCTAACCTAAGCTTGACTTTAGGAGAGATTAAGAGCTGCTTAAAGTAAAAATAAAGATCAAACACAGGATTTACTACTTTCAATCAGGGCTTGTTGCTTTTGCCATAGTACCTCTGTGGCCTGAGATATACAATTTTTGGTTAAACCTTAGAAAAATGTGTGTAACTTACTCTAATCGAACCATTCTCTAGATAAAGTATTATAAGTGCATTTTTGAAAATTTCATTGGCGAGTTCAAGTTTGCTTAAGAAGCACTCTTTGATAAAAATAAGTAATACGAGTTTTATTACATTAAACCTCTGCTGGGAATCATCATAATTTTTTTAGGTGAGAATTGATAGAGAGATAGGTGAAGAGGACTCCTGTATATTTTCAGGACAAGGAATTTAGAGACATGATTATTTCTTGCCCATTACCTTTAAAAATCTGCCAAAATTAGCATCTGTGATGCTATTTAATTCTCAATACACCAAATTACTTTTGGGCAAGGCTAAGAGACAGCACAGATCTCTCACTAAGTTTATTTAAAAAGTATCAATTTTCAGAGTTTCATCAATACTCTTTACGATAAAAGAAGGATCATGCATCAGAGGAGTCATCTGGATGCCTCGTTAGAGAGCTATAGACAATGGTTTTCATACTATATGGAATCGATTAAAATCAGAAGGCATTTGTTCTCTAAGATCAATGTTGATGCCCTAGTCTAGCTTTAATATTTCCTATAGTCTTGCTCTCTGGGAAAATTTGAGAAGGATTTCAAAGAGTATTTTTCCCTCAGCTAATAAAGCTTTTCATGGCTTCATCTTCAGGAATTACATTCGAGTTACTTTCTCGTTAGAGTATCCTATCTATGAACGGGTACTATCTAGTCTAAAGGAACTAAATGAGTTTTACTTCATGGTTGCTCGTATGCCAGCCTATAATTTTGATGAACACATTTATATATTGCTATCTTCACCATAAAACATCTATCTCTTGCTGCAAAAGTTCTACAGTTGATAAATGAAGGCAAGGTTAACTTTGGCTTGTGCTTTATTTTCCAAGATAGATAAATGATTAAAGTCAAGAGTTCTTCATTATAACCACAATTCCGTGAAGAAAGGATACGCTCATTAATTCTTCTTTATTGAACATATCTTGTCGAAAAGATACGATCTTAATTGATATCTTTTAAAAACCTTAAACCTTCAAAATTCTTTAATACAGACCCAAGAGTCTCTGCTTAACCTTATATTGGGTGTATAAATACAAAGGTAGGGGTTGCGCCAGGTCTTTTAAGTCTTAATCCTCCTGATTATCAGTTAAATTCTGAATAATTCCCAAAAGAATACGACAAAATCTTAAAACAATTAGCAAATTGATGATGGTTCTCTCTTATTAGGGATGCAAGTACTAATTTTACTTTGAGAAAAGCAAACTTAGTCCATTCTCTTTAACTCCAGCACATCTAGCTCCTTGCTTGGCTAATTCGTACTTGGCTATGGCTTAAAGTCATCCTGAAGCTTGCTCTTGAAAGTCGGTGAAATCTAAGACCGATCACCAAAACTCTTTGAATTAGGATCTCAAATTCTAGAATTTATATTGTGATAATTCATCGTCCAAGGCTCAAAGCGAGAAGTTCTGATGCCAGAGTGACTAACCAGCCAGGATGATAACCTTATCTTCTGAAGACTTCTCCTTTAAAGATCCGGAATAATTGGCAAAATTTTTAAAATTTGCTCTATCAGCCTTTGACGAATGAGTTCAGCTAAATAACAAAGACAGCGATGAGGAAATCAATCAAGTTAAAGAATCTTCAATTTAAAAGTTACATCCACAAGAAGTCTCCCTGATTTATGATAAAATTACTTTCTCAAATTTCCAGATCCAAATTGAAACTGCCAGTTTATTTTGATTTGGTGACTTTGGTGAAGCTTAAATTTCAAGTATTCGTGAATCCTCTAAGCTGTTTCGGTCCAAACTCTGGTAGAATGTATAATGGTATTCCAACCCCCATAATTTTAAACTGTCCGGAGAGATTATAGAGAGTAGTAATCGCTACTTATCTCATCCTGAAATTGTCTGAGAGCCTTCAATTTCCTATTCCAGCATTATCAGAGCTTCGCAATAACTAAATTGAACAGAAAATTAGTTATTATTGGTAGATTAGTCATCCTGTAATTTGGTGGAGACTTCTTTCTTAGCTTCAGATAAGTAGCGTTTACAGAGATATCCTGCTGATTTACCTACATCATTTCCAAAAATATGAAGGCTTAGAGACTTCAGGAAGAAAGTGCCTAACTTGATAATTCAGGTTTTATCAAAATTAGGAAATAAGTTAAAAATGGTAATATGTCTTTAAGACTGACTTTAGTATTTAACTTTGTTATAGTAATGAAAATGAAAGCATCAGAGTCTCTTCTATATTTCCTCTTCTAATTAAGGAAAAGTTTTAAGATTAATTACAATATTTCTCTCGGGTGCTCATGGAAACTAGATATTTCATGAGTGAACTCATGCTTGGGTTTTGGCTAATATTAATGTTCAACTTTTAAGATGGACTTCTCAGTGTTACAACTAAAACCTTCAAGATAATTTTAAACCTGAAAACACTCTTTTCAGAATATTCTACGAATCTATTAACTAAACACGCCAGCAAATTGGTGACTTCTAAGTAGATTAATTTGAGAATCAATACTTGGTGAACTCATTAATCCAGGCGCCTGGAGCCTCATCGGAGCAGCAATCACACTTGAAATTTGATTATATGCATCAAGAAGCAATGGAATCCTTCCTGTTATTTTAGTATTTAAGTGGGAAAGTAAACAAGCTTTATTAGGATTATTTAATGTTTTCTGCATCTACACAGAAATTTTATCATGCTCTAGTATTTAATTCAAGTAGCTTATTTATTAACCCTTTGGCTGTAAGGTCAGAGAACTTTTACAAAGACTTTGACAAAATAGAGCTATGAAATTTTCTTTAAGAAAGTGTTTGCTTCCCTTATTTCAATGATTCTAATTTATTTAACCCAGATAAACAATATTGGCATGATAATACCACCTTGGAGAACCTCTCTGTTTTCCTGTGATCCTCTACACTTTTGGGAAAATAACTCTAGCAAGCTTAAAATAATTTCGTGCACAATTCAATTAGATCTCACCATCTTGGGGTTTTGGGGTTTTGGGGTTTTGGGGG